CCTAACTAGAGCTAAAACCCAAGTCCAATGGACACTTCATTCTTCCTCTAATTAGTCTTCTCTATAGCATAACACTGTTCATCACTTCTCCACCATCTTGTGCTCTCTAGAATTCTCTAGAATTCAGAATTTTGTTCTTACAATCTCTTTTAAAGGCTCCTCTTTCTTTAGTTTGGTCCTTAAATGCTTGTCTTTTCTGAAATATGTAGCTGTATATGAACATGTATGCACACACACACACACACACACTGAACTATAGCTCAGAGAGCTCAAATGAGTCACCTGGGAACTCAGGACCAGTAAATTATAGAGCTGTGATTCAAATTCAAACTATCTGACCTCTAGTCCAGTTCTTTCCTTTCTACTATATAGGAAAACAACCTAGATTTTGATTCAATACTAATAAAGTTCTTTTCTAGTAGTTTAATCTGCTCCCCAGGTCTTGGGACACTGTTGACTTCCCACAAAGCTGCAGGCCAAGGCCAAATAATCCACCTTCTCTGAGAGGGTTTTCAGTCAAGAAGCACACTGCTCTGCTCATGCATTCTTGTTTACACAAAGAGGACAGTATTACAGGGACATCTTTGTTCCAATTCATCAAATGTATTTCAAATTGTGAGTTTATTATAATACTACTACTACTACTAATAAAAAAAGTGGTCAACTTTGGAGGATAACAGGGAATAAATTCATTATACTGAAAATAGGTAAATAAAAGGAAAGAATTAAGCATTCATCCTCTTTTCCTATACAAACAGTGCCAGTGTTTTACCCAAATGGTAGATGAGGAGACAGTTATGATTTGAGATGGGGCCCATGGAGGGCATCTGGGAAGCAGGCAAAGTTTTATTCCTTTGTTGTTGACCTATGTTGGTCAAGTTTTACTTGTTGACTAGCATAGTGGTAATAAGAGTACTTGTTTTACAACAATTCATTAAGCTGTACATTCATTTTACTTTTATTATCAGTGTTTTAAAGTTAGTAATTAAAAACTCACTTTATTAAAAAATAGTAAGAAAAAGGAAGAGAGTAAAAGTACTAATCTCTTAGTAAATTACAGACCTGTCCTGTCCAAATACAGTAGCCACTGGCCACATATGGCTACTGAGCATTTAAAATGCAGCTAATCTGAATTGAAATGTGTGTAAGTATAAAATAGTCACTGTATTTCAAAGACTTAGAATTATAAAAAGAATGTAAAATATTTAATTAATAGTTTTTCCATATTGATTCACACTGAAACAATATTTTAGACATGTTGGGTCAAATAAAATATTCTATTAAAATTAGTTTTTTATGTGACAGCTATGCGAACCCACCAGCCACTCCTCGGAAGGAAGGTTGGGCAATCCTACTTCCGTAGTGATACTGCCTCGGAAACCCAAGGAGGGGTCGCTATGAGTCAGGGCTGACTCGATGGCACATAACAACAACAACAAGCTAGAAAGTTGAAAATTATATTTGTGGCTCATTAAATTTCTATTGGTCAACACTTCTCTAGAGCCTGTGTTACGGATTGAATAGTGTTTCCCAAAATTTTATGTTGAAGTCCTAATCCCTGGTACCTTAAGAAAGTGACCTTGTTTGGAAATAGGGTCTTTGAAGATGTTATCAGTTAAATTAACCTGAGGTCATATCAGAATAGGGTAAATCCTAATCCGATCTGAGTGGTGTCCTATAAAAGAGACACACAAGAGAGAGAAAAAAATAGAAGAGAGACCTCAGACTTATGATGCTGCAGCTACAAACCAAGGAACGCCTGGAGCTACCACACACTGGAAAGACAAGAAAGGACCTTCTCTAGAGCCTTCTGAGAGAACGTGGCCCTGCCAACACCTTTATTTTACACTGCTAGCATCCAGGACTGTGAGATAATAAATTTCTGTTCTTATAAAGCCACCTACTTTGTGGTATCTCATGTTAAGGGAGCCCTAGGAAAATAACACACCACACAATCAAAATATCTATATGGTGTGTTCTGGTGGCAGTCTACCTCAAATTCAAGTTCAATTCTTGTGAATGGAAAACCATACCAAACGAAAGCAGGTATCATAAGGTTGTACAAATTGCTAGGGTATAATCTCTGAAATAACACATGCCTTACTCTTAGCAGTCTGCAGAAGTCGTCTCTAGGAGAATACTGATTTTCTGAATAAGGAGAAGAATATGCTTCTGAGTAAGGAGAACAGAAGGAGACAGGAGTACAGGGGAGGAAAGAGACAATGGAATGTAACTGTTCTTATCTGTTATCCACTCCTATTTAAGGATAAGGGCATCCTAAAAATAGGTTTAAAAGAAAGTACCGTAAACGTTTTCATTCTTCACTTGAATATTGGAAGCAAATTTAATAAGAAATAATTTCTGTGTTTATTTTTATTTAAGACCATTATATTTCACTTTAGGGCACTTCTCAGGAAAAATATATTTTTATGGTCTCCACAGCTTGTCTTGGCTTTGTGTATTTGCTCCTCGGATGTCAAATAATTAGTGACAGACTTGGAAGCCTCTGCTTTTGCAAAGCACCACAAGTTATGGACATCACTGATAGACACAGCTGTGTATTTCAAATACATGTCTCAAGATGCTGCCTTATATAATCCTACCAAGTATTCCATTCTGCTTCGACAGTCTGAGTCACCATGGTAACTAGAACCTTGTAAGCACTTAGGCTTTTTATCATTTCCTGACAGTATTCAAGGCTATTTCTAACATTATTCTCATTTCATTACTACTATAACTACATGCAAGAGCTATTCTGAGCAAAACACCATTCATTTTACCCATTTCTTACTTTTTGAACTAAGTTTTCTTGCACAATGAGTGGAAAGAGCAGCTAATTCATAATGCACATGTTATAAGAAGGTATATCCAGACAAGAAAAATACCTATTAAAGATATTCATGGCTCTGACAATTTAGATAAATAGTTTAAAATAAGGTAGAAAGACACATACCCCCAAGAGTAAAAAGGGAATTTACTATATACCAAGCGAGACATTATAAAGAAAAATCTAAAGTTTTTCATGCACTGAAATGCACCTTTTTATTTTGCTCATAAACAGCTTAAAAACCCAAGTGATAGGGTATACAAGGGAGTTTCTGAGGTGCTGTTCATTCTCTTTCTTGGTCTAAGTACAAGTCATATAAATGTGATCAGTCTGTAAAAATACACCAAGCTGTACACTGATGTGTACTTTTCTACAAGTATCTTATACTTCAAGAATAAGTTTAAAAACCAGTTTATGAACAGGAGAAAGAAAAAGAAACAAAACAAAGCTCTGAATATATAAGCAGTCAGAGTTAAAGGAATGCTCATGGGAATGACTCAAAGTTAAACGCTGATGCTGTTCCAGCTGGATGCCTACTTCATCCCACTTCCCCAGCTTCGATGCTGGGCCAGGACCACTACCAGTACATTCCTTGTTCTTTGTCAGCACTATGACCCTCTTTTCTATTCAGACCAACATAAATACACGAGGGAGAAAACAACACAAAACCTTCACTTAGTTATTCCGTAAGAAATCTCTTTCAAAAGAAATGCTAAAAACTGTATCAACACTTGAAAGTAGGTGTTTAATACACACACCTGAAGGCTTGGAGAGCTTTGGAGAAGGAATGAGGAGAGTGGTATGGGGGAGAATGCTACATCATCCCTCTAAACTAACCCCACACTGTAATTCCAGTCCACCAGAGAAACTCTAACAATGTCATACCTGAGCAAACAATATATGGGTTCCTTTCCAATCAGTAATAGTGAACAAAGAATACTTTCATTTATAAAACAAGCACAGAAAACACACATACACACGCCAGACACTAGGAGAAAATCAGCCCCTTAGAAGAAAGAGGCCAAGCTGAGCACTAGAGCAAAGAGCTCCCATGAAAACAAAGTCAACAGGAATACAGATAATAAACTGAATACAGAACTTCTGATAAACCTAGATTATATAACACATGCTGATTTCACAATCTGTTTTTTCATTTAATTATATATCACAGGTAACTTTTCATTTATATTTCACCAAAATCTTTGTAATAGCTCTATATTTTCCCATGGGAGCTCTGGTAGCATAGTGCCTAAGGCACTTGACTGCTAACCAGAAGGCTGGTGGTTCAAACCCACCAGCCACTCCTCGGAAGGAAGATGGGGCAATCTACTTCCGTAGTAATACTGCCTCGGAAACCCAAGGAGGGGTCGCTATGAGTCAGGTCCAACTCGACAACATATTTTCCCGTAAGAAGCTCTGGTAGTACAGCGGTTAAGGCATTCCACTGCTAACCAAAAGCTCAGCGGTTTGAACTCACCAGCCCCTCCATGAGAAAAAGATGAGGAAGTCTGCTTCCATAAAAATGTACAGCTTTGAAAGCCCTACGGGGCAGTTCTGTTAAGTCCTGTAGGGTAGCTGTAAGTCAGAATCGACTCAGTGGCAGTGGGTTGGGTTGGGTTGGGTTTGGTTATATTATTCCATGTATACAAATCTGTTGCTGTCAAGTTGATTCTGACTCATACCAACTCTACAGCACAGGGGAGAGCTGCCCTCTAAGCTTTCCAAGGCTGATATACCAAAATTCATTTACGGATGCCCTACTGAGTGAAATAATACATCTTTCTTTTCTATTGTTTTTTCACCTAAGAATAAAGAATAGAATCAAAGAAGAAAATCATGACCATTTGTAGCATAGATATTTATACAGCATTTTACCTATAACTTTAAAAAAAAACCCTTACCTGACATCAGCCAGGGGACAACAACAACAAAAAAAGAACTCTGGTAGTATAGTACCTAAGGCACTTGACTGCTAACCAGAAGGCTGGTGGTTCAAACCCACCAACCACTCCTCGGAAGGAAGGTTGGGCAATCTACTTCCATTGTGATAACGCCTCAGAAACCCAAGGAGGGGTTGCTGTGAGTCGGGGTCGACTCAACGGCACATAACAACAACAACAGAGAAATAACAACAACAACAGAGAAAAGTTTAACACGTTGTAAGTCCACTAACCTTAGCCCATTGAATAGCTGTTTAGATTTATCCAGGAGATAACAAAAATCTGTAACTGTTTTCCTTTCTCCCTGCGGGATGTCATCTTCAGCACCTCCAGAGGACATGATTTCAAGAGCAAATTCAGTCCTGCAAGAAAGCATATGTTCACTTACTCATTAGGTGAAAATAAAAAAGAGAGAAAGATCTTAGTCATACCCTGTGTTAGCATTTTTTCCAAAGTAGATACAGAATTCTTCTGATTACAATCAATTCAGTAAAATAACAAAATAGACAATGTCATATGTTGGTGGGAAGAAAACTTACTACAGTCCTATTGGAAAGCAAGTTTAACAACGTGCTTTCATCCAATAAATATTTTTAAAATGTTTATTATGTTCCATGCACCGTTCTATGTTGTTAATATAAAAATGTTGATCCCTTTGACCTATATGTCCATTTGATCCATTCTGGAAAGCCATCCTAGGAAAATGATCCTGAAAATGGAAAACACCTTATCCATAAACATATTTATTTGATGATGATAATATTTAAAAACTGAAAACAACCTAAAATCACCAAAGAGGGGTAAGGATAAGTACTTAACAGAACATTAACCATCTTTCTACCCTACCACTAACTTCCAATCATATTTAAGATAATGAGGCAATAGGGAGACACTCGGGAACATAAAATTACAGATAGACAGACAGAAACAACCTATTTCTATATGTAATTGCATATACTTTCATGACCTGAGGGTAAAGTTAGATTTCTTAAACAGGAAAGAAAAGTGAAAAGGCAAGCCACAGAGTGAAGAAACATACTTGCAATATATCCCCAACAAAGGACTTGCTACCAAAATAAATGAAGACCTACAAATGATAAGGAGAAAAAATCAGACAATACAATGTCACCATGAACAAAACGTACTTCACAAAGGAGATCATCAAATGGCCAATAAATACATGAAAAGATCCTCATAAGAGAAATGCAAATTAAAACCAAAATGAGATACACAGCTACCAAAATGTCTCTAACATTAAAAAACTGACCATCCCAGGTGCTGACAAAAATGTGCAGGTACAGGAACTACTTTAGAAAACTACTTAGCAGTATCCACTCAATGACTCAAAATAAAGTCCTGGTAATCGACTCCTGAAAAAAGTCATTGAAAACCTTATGAAGCAGTTCTACCGACACACATTGAGTTGCCATGAGTTAGAACTGACTTAACTGGTGCGGTGTAGTAAATTCCATAGTGTGGCTTTTCTAGCCAGAAGTCTTTGTAAGCTCCCTGGTGGAATTTGCTGTGAGCAACTAACTGAGTAGCTCCTGATTATTAAAATTATACACCTGGGGTATTTCTGTTAGGAGCAGCACAAAGTAATTTTCTGGGAAGTTCGCTCTCTCAGGTGTATAGTATAGAATTCTGATGTTGGGATTGGTTAGTTTGGCCACTCTGCCAGGCTCAAAGGGAGCCCTCCTAGAAGCACAAGGAATTTCTCAGTTCTGGCTGAGAGACACGACAGACACATACTGCTGAGAGAGACCTCAAGAGACACACACTGTTGAGAGAGACACTGAGAGACATGCACGGCTGAGAGAGACTGGCAAAGACTGTTGGCTGAGAGATGGTAGGCTGTGAGAGACTGAGTGCATTTCTGAACTTGAATTGTAGCCTGTTGCTTCCCTAATAAACCCCATAATCTGTGAATTCTGTGTGGCCACTGCAGCGAATTACTGAACCCAACAGACAGGTGGTGGGTGCTGCAGGTTGGTGAAAGGGCTGGAGGGAGGCAGCATGTCTGGCCTCGCAGGAAGAGGCCTTGGGTTACCGATGGTGATTCTGTCTTCCTCTTGTGGGGCCAGAGGAGGTCAGAAGATGTGGCCTCCTTGCCTCTTTGGCAACTGGCTTAATTGAATATACACTAATACTGTAGAGGGAAAAAAAATACACATACGTGGAAATCTATTAAACAAGGTCAATTTATTTGATAGACATGTGTAGGAACCATAAGGGTAAACATACTACATAAATGAGAATCAAAATAGAGACAAAAAAGCACATATATAGTGGAGTCCTAACACACATTACAAAATAAGCAAACAAGAAAACAGTCATGGGGACAACTGATCAAAGAATAATTGTGCTAAATCTGTTGCACTGTGGTGAATTGTAGTCAATGTCATGAGACAAAGTATATGTGAACTACTGTATGCAAAGTGAATTTGCTCTATAAACTTTTACCCAAATCACAATTAAAAAAAAAAAAAAAAAAGAATATTTGTGCTAAATACAGAGATTTTGGCAAATTATTGACCAGCTTTGCTGAAAATTTCTTTTCCTAGGCAGTCTTTTCACAAAGCAACAAGAGAGACTGCTACTCTGGACTTAATTCTGAGTAACTGGTTGGCAAAATAAATCTTGAGAGAAAATTATATGAGTCTGTATTTCCTTATATCAAATACTTGGTATTTTTGCAAAGTGTAACAGCAGTGGAAAGGACCCTGGACAAGAGCAGAACCCAAAGTATTTCTGTTCTTAACACATATTAGTTCTGCGATCTTAAACAAAAAACTTCAACTAATACTCTGTGTCCCTGGCTGCTAATCCACTAAAACAAACAATTTACAAATGTTCTGCTTACCTTAGATGACCATTGTGAAAATATAATGAGATCATTAGATGTAAAAGACTGCAAACATTACATAATGTAACTATCACCATTACTATTACTCTGCATTTTGGTGATGTTTCAAAGAGATAGGGAACAGCCCTGTGACTGGACTCAAGAAGGAAAAACCCATTGTTATCGAGTAGATTCTGACCCATAGTGAGCCTACAGGACCCAGGAGAACTGCGCAGTAAGGTTTCAAATCTTTCTCCCATGGAGGGGCTGGTGGGTTCTGGGTTCATATCTCCAACTTCTGATTAGCAGCTGAGCCCTTCACCACTGTGTCATCAGGCTCCTTTCAAGAAGGAAGCAAGCTGAGAAAAAGAACGGAATTATACAGAAAACTAAATCCAAATACAATAAAAATTGATTCTGCTAAAGAAGAGAAAGCATAGAAATCATATGCTAGGAAAGAGATGATTCTTTTATCAACTCAGATTTTTAAAAGAAAACGTAAAGAGATGGAATGCCTGCACAATTAAGAATGAACAGAGTAAGAGTATCACATATTTTCTCAGCTGTAAAAATGGAATATTACTAATAGCTACCTCAAGGGCTGTTGGACAATAAAATTCACTAACGGACATGAAATTGCCTAGCAAGTTATAATGTATTCTAAAATTGTTAGTTATAAAACTGTTATAAAAGCACTGAAAATAGAGCATGATTAAAAAATACCAAGTCCAAAAAAAAATGTTAAACACGTGTGTGTACGTGGGGAGGGATGACGATGGCTTTGCCACATTCAGTGCAAGAGGAACGAGGAAGCTCCTGCTTGGTGCAGATGGTGTTCACAGAAAATGAACAAATGTCAGAGCTCAAAAAGCTGGTCCTTACCAGAGAATAAAGCATTTTCATGTATCAAGGACAGCATAAAATTATCATAAAATATACACAAATTAGTATCTGAGAACAATTGTTCTGGTTTATTCCAACGTATTCTTGATGTTAAATTACCCCCTAGAATAGCAATTTCAAGAAAAATGTATAGGTACTAAATGTCTCATTGATCACTGCATAAGGAAAATGAGTAACACCATGCTGACAAAGAGAGATTAAGATGCAGAATCTAGAACCAGCAGAAAGCCAGAGAGCTTTGCTAGGACATCCATATTTATATTGGGCTCCTCATGCCTTTGGATCAACAGGCAAAGAAGAGAGTTACCGTATTGTCTGGCATGACTGATCCTGATTACCAAGTGGAAATCAGATCGATATTACATATGAAGGTAAAGAAGAGTATGTCTGGAATACTGGAGACTCCTTAGGCCATCTCTTAGTACTACCATGTCCTGTGATTAAAGTCAATGGCAAACCACAGCAACCCGATTCTGATATGACTACTAATGGCCCAGAGCCTTCAGGAATGAAAGTCTGGGTCACCATCCCAGGCAAAGAACCACGAACAGCTGAGGTGCCTGTTGAGGCCAAGAAGAAGATGGAAAGGGTGGAGGAAGAAGGTAGTTCTAAATACCAGCTACGACCACATGACCAGTTGTAGAAACAAGGACTGTCACTGTTGCGAGAATTTCTTCCTTGCAAGTGTGCAAAAAATACATATTGTTTTCTTTAGTTTATGAAATACATGATGGAAATGGGGCTAATGCATTTTTGGTTGTACATATTAGTTATATCATGTTTGGTGCAAATATAACTTTATAATTTTCTTTATTTAGAGATTATGTATGGTATAAAGAGATGTGCACAGATGCCAGGCACAGTGCCTAAGGCATCTGACTACTAACCAGAAAACATTGGCGGTTCAAACCTAACAGCTGCTCCACAGAAGGAAGATGGGGCAATCTATTTCCGTAAAGATTTATCGCCTTGGAAACCCAGTGGAGGTCAGTATGAGTTGGAACCAACTTGATGGCAGTGAGTTTGGTTTGGTTTGGTTCAGGTGCCAGGTGACAAAATGTGGACTGTGATAACAAGTTGTATGTTAACTTTGCTGAGCCATGATTCTAAGTGGTTTAGCAGTTATGATGCAGTTATCCCCAACAAGATCTTCTATAAGCAGTCAATCAATTGAAAGGGAGATTCCTTCAGGGTGTGGTCTGCTTCCATTATATATGGAAAAGCTCTAGGAAAGGCCTCTGACTTTCTTGCAAGAGATCCTGCATCTGGCTCATTATCATTTGGACTTGAACCAATGTCCTGCCATATTGTCTGCCAATCCTGGGACTGTTGCCTTCATAGCCTGTGAACCAACAGGCTTCCAACTGACCTGCCAATCTTGGATTCATCAGCCTCTGAAGCAAGCAGCATGCTGTATTGCCTGTCAATCTTGGGTTCACAGCCCTGCAGCATGATGGACACATGGACTTGGAACTTGCCAACCTCTATAACTGAGTGAGCCATTTCCTTGAGATATGGTGGGAGCTCTGGTGGCGTAGTGCCTAAGGCATCTGACTGATACTCAGAAGGCTAGCAGTTCAAACCCACCAGCCACTGCTCGGAAGGAAGATTGTA